GCTCGTTTTGGGACCACAGGGAGTATTTGAACTCTGTCCTTTAAAGTAATCAATGTGATCCTGCCTGTTGCACTGGAATTGTTTCTTTTTTTGTTGTTGTGATGTTGTTATGTTATGTATAGTGTTATGTAATTATGTTAGTGTTATGCAACTGGAGCGCATTTAGTGCGGGCAAGTTCAGACAACTCGTCCAACGCGCGTCTTCCCACATCGCTAAGCGGCAGAGGGGAGTCCCTGTTTAAAGCCCTGTTCGGCGTTTTTCTTTGGTTTTTTCGTCACTATCGGTCAAATTGTCGCCTATAACTACATTATCAACGGTATTTACCCGCAAATTCGTCCTGGGATTGTTGCTTTAAGCATTCAGTAAGTCTCTGCAACCCATGAACATTGAATAATTGGTCGCTCGATAAGAATTTCAAATTTATTTTTGGTGCTAACTTAGTTGGGGGGCCACGCGGCGGCGCGGCAGTCTGCTCGCCTGGCATGTTCGGAAATCCGTGGGCCAGGGGGAGTGTAGGCAGTCTAGGGGGTGGGGGGGGGGCAGTCACTTGACATGCGTGAAAAGCTGGAATGTTCGAGTTTACACTGTCTCGCTCGAGAGAGCCCAGGTGAGCAGACTGCCGCGCCGCCGCGTGCCCCCCCCCCAACTAAGTTAGCACCCTATTTTAACATATAACTCAGCAAACTGCTGCCACCTTTCATTCATTCTGAATAATCACTCCCACTCTCACTAATGAATTGTGTTCTGGTCGCCTATAGACATCATGTAAACGACCGCACGCGAAATGTCGTTATAAAAGGAAGCGGCGGCATTGGAGAGTACCACCATATCTATAGAAACCTTTTTTTTATATAGGATATTTGTTTTTGTGATCGAATGTCATTCTAACTCATTCTTTGTACTTGAGTGGAGTATCCTGTCGGGTACAAAGTGCCTCGTCGCAAAGGCATAGCGATTGAACTGTTCAAAACCAGAATCACTTCACTTACGAGTCAGCTTCCGGACCTAGCAAACTGCAAGCTACCTCTGCGACTCACGACGGGAGAAAAGGTTTCTAAAGCCTCAGAACTTGCATCCTCAGACACCTCAAGCAACCAAACACGTCCATGATTGCGTTATCTCTGTCTCGCTCACTGCTAGGCTTTCTCGTCTCCGCCTGCCGTCCTCTCACCTCCGCTTAATAGTGTTTCGCTTACTGTTCACCTACAAGACTCCACCGCTCAAGAAACAGGATGACCATATTTGAGGTTTACTTTCAGTGCTCATACCGCCTTACCACGGCGCACGATCCGGGAATCGGATCGTCGTCGTGGTCTCGCCCAGCGTCCAACGAAGGCCGCTTCAAAAATTCTTTTTATACGGGCTCAACTTATTTGTACCAGACTTGTCGCGGGAGGGTAAAAAACACTGACTTGTAATCGCTGGACGCAAGTCATGGGTTTAGGCCAATGTCGCATCAAGTGCCCACGAATTGTAACAAGTTGGAAGTACAATACTGTACCAAAGGAGTCATCAACGGTGAATGCTTTGCGCTGCTTTTTTTTATCTGCTTTGGACGTCGACCTATGCAGCATTTGATTCTCGGGGTCAAAAAACCAGAGAACTTTTTGAAAGTCAAATGACTGTTCATCCATGCAGAATAAACTTATACACTTCTGAATAGTCTCAAAAGTTTAAATGCAAGAGAACATGGACTTCATGGTTCACTAACGGAGAAGGGCAATCGTTGTTCTTATCCAATCTTCTGCCTTTTTAACTGTCTGGGATCACAAATTATAGTTACCGAAAGCTTTTGCTGATGGAACCTTAGGGATTTCTTTATCATATTGGGTGATTCCGAGGTGTATCTCAATACGACGTCGTCGGACACGCTACAGGGGGAGATGCTTGGTCGATAATAAAGGATAAAGCATTTGCCGTTGATCAATCCCTTTTTTGGGATGCGGCACGCATTCTACTTCCATTTGTACATTCGTAGTGGCGTTTGAATGCGATGTGGCCTATACAATGACTTGCGGGGGCCAGCCGATGTACAAGTCAGTGTTTTTATCCTCCCAGACAAGTCTGGTACCAATTAACCGACCCCGGAGGGATGGAAGGCTTGGTTGGCCCGGGCGACTCACGACCCAGGATTTGATCCCCGGACCGCTCGCGTGGTAAGCGTGCCACTTGCCACTATACCAACTTTCCGCCAAAACATTCCACTCAAGTCGGGAGAAGCCGAAAAGGGACTGTGACAAGAGGCATCACCGCTGCACGAAGTTCCTCAGTCATCATTCATGGGCCTAATTTCACAAAGGCCGACCATGTAATCCTGAACTACCTGCGCTTTACCTAAGTTAGCACCAGATTTGTAATAGGTTTTTTTTCAGGTACAGTGCCGTTTTGCTCAACAGCGAAATCAGAGAAATCATTTTCCATCCGCTTCGATCGATTATGTACAAATCGCAAAAAAGTGAGAGTAACACTGTGACGTCACAAATCCCACGGGACACTCTCCAAGCATGGAAATGATGAAGCCCTCCAATGCACATCACCTACGGAGCATATAACATTAATAAATGTTCAAATAAGTGAATTGTGCAGAATACATTCATACGTTAAAGTGGCGCCGCTCCATCACATGCATGTCCAGGGATCGAATCACGACCCGTACTCTGCCCAAGCCGCCTCCTTTCCGAGGATTGCTACTTGATGCCACTTCATCAGAAAGCATATTGACACTGATTCTCACACCTAATGACCTCCATAAGAATACGCACCGAAATGTCATTGCGGTTTCCGATGGGAATTGAACCCGTGGCGCATCCCACTATAGATGGAGTGATACCAGGGGGTCCCTCTACACGGCTTTATCAGATTTGTAGCTTACCCCAAAGAAAACGGGACATTTATGAACACAGTGGATCTGTTCTCGAAACCCTATCCACGCTCATTGTTGAAGAGCGCTAGAGCTAGGCGTCTACCCAGGGTCAACCGTCCGTTGGACAAAGTCCAACGAGGGGTGGGGGGTCGTATTTGGGGGTGGAAAAGGGAGGGGGTCGTATTTCGCGAGGTAGCGTTAATGTTACAGTAAGGGAAGGGATGATTTTTTATGGAACGGAGAGCGGATTAGTTGTATGGCTGTATAATTTTGAGGTTGAGGTTTAAGGGGGGGAGGGGGGGCGTAAAATTTTCGAAAACGGTCCAAAGCGACGGTTGGACCCTGCGTCCCCTTTCTGGGGAGGGGGGGAGAAGGGGGAAAGGGGTGGGGGATTCGAGTTACGCGCCCACCTTTCTGGGGGAAGGTGGGGGATTTCTATGTACGGGCCGGGGGTGGGGGAAAGTGGGGACTCTATGCAGGCCAACGTAGGGTGTGATAAACGCTGCTTCCATAGCACGTCCCAATCCCGCACAAAAGGCAAAAACTCAGTAAACCAGGAATTCTCACCAAAAGATAAGATCACTACTGAAGATTTATTGTACGGCCCATCATAACATAACATCACAACCATCAACCATCACAACGACGATGAACAATGGTTCGAGAACAAGATTTTTGAACCATCACGTCATCCAATAACTTACAACAGAAAAAAATGGACAGAAAACAATTTGAACTACAAAAAGGCATCACAAGTGAGTGTGACGAGCTGTCAGAATGTCATCAACAGCTTTTAAAGTGAGCTATATGGTATCTAGCGAAAAAGAGGCCCATCGATAATGAAACTTATGACCACCACTTTCTGAACATGAAGGCTTAGAAGGGCACTTATTACACGAATATTTAGCGCTTAGAGCTTCGCACCTTTAAGGATTAGTCTTCGCGAGCATGCGCTTCATATCCACGTAATACGGCCTAAGCCTATTATTGCAAAATTGTTAAGCACAAAAATTCATGACGCACTTTCCCAGGTTTTTTTCTCCTTAAATTAAGTTTCATAATCGATGCCAATGTTGTGTAAAGATTTAGACGTTACAAAGAAAGATCGCTCCTTAAAGAATCTGACTAATATATCACATAATGTCACTGCTCAAACAGTTTTTTCTAGCTACTAGACTGTTGCTAAATCGATGCATAAATAATGCCAGCACATACTTGTTTAAAATCCTACCTAGAACTCAAACAGTATTTCGAGAACAAATAATCCCCAAATCAAAAAACTCCAATAAATAAATGTGTGACCAGGCCTGGACCAATAATGCAGAAGAGCGCCATGGGGGTGATGTATGGTAATCGTTTCCAGCTTATTAGACAAATCAGGTCACATCAAGCTCTTCCTCTGTTTTTCCCGGTCATGTGCAATTATTCTGCAGTCACAGAGAGTTATCAATTGGCAATTACTACCCTTTTGACGATTTAATGCCTGATAATTCGATTCGACCCAAGTACGTTTAAGAAAAATGAAGTGTGATTGAGTTGGGGAAATCTTGGCACCCACAAGAAAGTCAGAAGGTGGTCGTCATGCTATTAATAATGGGCAAAAATAATTTTTCTCAGTGGGCTGAGTAGAAAGTTCCTGTTGTATCTTCCGTATACATGATCTTCTCTGCTAGAAATTCTTATATGTTAATGCTATGATGTCGCTTGTGCTCCCCCCCCCCAATACCCGCGTGTTCTCAGTTAGCAACCGATATGAGCACAACAACTGGATGGAAACAGTCGCAACAAATAGGTCGCTTAACTCCCAGACAACTAGCGGGAATCTTTGCCTAGTATTACAAAAAATGGATGTCTGTCATGACTTATGCATCAACCTAATGTACTCACAACTTCGATGAATGAAAATAAAGAAAAAATAGTCGAATAACATTACTGATGTGCACATATGAAGGAATGTGTGTTAGAATTGTAGAATAAGCCGCAACAGCTTCAGTTGTCGAATATTTACTATACATCATTACTTCCTCTAGAGCACATTATGTAAAATGCGACTAATTAACTTGCAAATTCCAATTGGTCCCTGCACCTACCTATATATTGCAGTATTCGCTTTTCTTATAACAAATGGTCGATTTATAATCCAAGCAAATCATCAAAATTCATGTTAGCAGGCGTTGTGGTTGCTTGTGGTTGAGCGGTGGTGGAAGAGGGTACTACAGGCTTACTCAGGTAGTTCATATTCAGTACCTAAAAATAAAGCTCAACAATCACATGCTCATGAAATACTTCAAACAACAGCAAATTCGAAAAAAGTCTACTTACAAAAGTGCCTAAACTCTTAAAAGAAACACAAAATAGAGCCCAATCAGAAAAACTTCTGGTCAAAGATACTGCGGCTGACACATGAAACAACAAAAAAAGAAATAACTCTTCAACCAACCTTTCCAATCGATAAATCAGCAAACGCGTTATTGGCACGAGTTGAGCAGGCGGTTGGCGATTGTGGCTGTGCAGCAAGGCTTGGGGCCGCAGACACTGGAGCAAACTGCAAGCCCTGTAGCAACGCGGTCCCAGATGGCTGTTCAAAAGGATTTGGGAATCCTTGTGGATTTATTCCGTACGGCATTTGAGGCATTGGGCTAGCAAATCCCATCATTGCCGGAGCTCCAGGAAAAGCTTTGTTCTCAGGTACTTTAGCACTCGCACTTAAGGCGGTGATTGCCGGTACTGATTGCTGAGGTGCCGCTTGTAGACCAAACGCTGCAAAGCCGCCAACAGGAACGATAGGCTGCGTCGGACCCTACAAGATGCTAGTAAGCCTTCAACAAAAACTAAATAATCTAAGACAAGTCGATCAATTCGAATATGCATGAATCAGCTTACCTTTGACTGATCGCCAAAAAGAGAAAGAATATCGGCGGTAGATTTTTTCTCGCCATTTTGCACTCCCCCACCAGATAAAGACATTAGATCAGCAGATCCTTGAGAAGATACCGCGGACTGCGCCGCCTTATCCACAGGTGACGCCTGTTGAGACGCTCCTGTAGCCATGACTGTGTCGATAGTCGGTGCAGAAGCAAACGATCCAAACATATCGTCGACTTCCAAACTTTGATTTGCAGACGCCTCCTGAAGCCATTTTTGAAAATCCAACAAAAAAAACAAGTGTCTTTTGCTTCAAAAATAGCCTACGAATAGGAAATTTGGCCTTCGATATTTTAGAAGCCGGGTTAATCGATTTCTTACCTCAAAGTAAACAAGGTGTCTACGCTACATGTACCCTAGGTACAAAAAGGAACCACACATGACGACAAATGAAAATGAACCGTACCTGTTGAGGTGCAAGCGACAATGAGGCGAAATCTCCAACTAAAGAATTATTGCCGTTAATCTGCGTGTTAGAGCTAGCAGGAGAAGAAAAATCCAAAAGGTCGTTAACAACAGCCGAACTCGATTTCGGCTCAGCAGAAGCGACAGATACCCGTGCAGCATTCGGCTGAAAACATTCTGAGTTTCATTTGAACCTGTACTTCATTACGTTCTTCACACACACACAAAATATAAAATGACATCTACAAAAACTGCTGCGAGGATAGGCAGCGGGATTGGCCAAGGCTCTTCTATGTCGTCTAGTCGAACTTCAGTGGTCTTGTCGTCTCCCCCACGTATTTCTCATTGAAATGGTGTCGAAAATTCTCTCGGTTCAAATGGTAGAAATATCGGGAACGGCGCTGGCAATCTCGCAGAAACAAGATGAACTACAAAGGGTTTTCGCTTTCAAGCTAATTCCATTTACCACTCGTCGAGAACAAATATTTGAAACCATTAGGAACAAAATCGTTGTTCAAAGCAACATTAACTAATATTATCCATATAAGGTATTATGATTATGGCTTATTAGCAGCTTAGCAGCCGACTGCATGCAGTCGAATGCTAAAAAAAATGAAAAAAAAAACCCTCTTAGTATGCGAGCATGAAAACACCGCTGATTAGAGCAAACCTTAGCGGAATGGATAACAACAAAAAAGTAGGACGTACCGATGTGAGTCCAGAACTTGTAGTTTTCTTTTTGGTGCTGGGTTGACCCGGTTTCGGTAAATCATTAACATCTACCCGAGGATAAACAAAACCATTCAAAATGTACCTAAACACAGAAAACAAATGAAACTCTGAAAACCACCAACATCAGATCACAATGAACAAAATGGAACCTCTTTTGCTCATATTTTGCACGAATAAATTGTTCCATTTGATGGTCTGCCATTGAGCGGCGGAAATGATCAGGTAATGAGTGTTCGTACACCTAAGCAAACAATTGAAGCAAATTAGAAATTTCACAACAAGCTCTAGCCTTTACCTTCCTAGCTTTTTCATTACCCATCACTCGCATAGACTGCACTTGTTCAGGTGTCCAGGTATCCAAATTCACAGATCGCACCTTAAACGTCTAACTGAGCACGGCTCAGGATCAAAATTGCTATATGTCATGGATTTAAGTTCTATAATGAGTCCGCTGCACTAAGTCATCACCTCTCTTAAAGTGAGACATCTTAGTTGTTTTACTGATGCTACAGGTATTATTTCTACCAGATTTGATGAAAAGCCAGATAAGCAGGTTTGAGTTTTCTACGAAACGGGAGGATGCGCTATGAAAACAAATTAACTTAATAGAACTTTGAGAAAACAGTAGTGTTCAGCCAAACAGTGTATCTCGGAGGGGATCAGAGGCCGTAAAAGGAGTGGCGGCCTGAAAATACCACGGATGTGGTTCACTAGGACAGAAAGCGACTTTTCGCATTTCGCAGAGCGAAACATTTGCTGTGGGAACCTTGGCTCCACTGATGATCTGCAGTGGAACTGAGGTTCCCGCAGCGAAAAATGTTTCGCGCTGCGAAACGCGAAAAAGTCGCTTTCTGTCCTAGTGAATCA